AGGCAACAGTGCCAACCCCTTACTCGATGCAATAATAATCTCCATTATTGTAGTAGTTGCATCTATAGCGCTGGTGGTGCTAATTTGAACATTCATAAAAGTATTAATATGAATATTAATTTTAATGAATATTGGCTGGAAGCAGCATTCACATAATATTTCTGAGAACAAGGAGAATAACAAAAAGAACAAATATTTGCAAAGAAGTGAACATCACTATATAGTTTCTGTAAGGACTCATTCCCTGTGATACCATTACAGGAGAACCATTGCTGCAAGTACAACCATCCACAACTTGTCAACAAAAGTGGACGGACAAAGCAAAATATGACATTAATTTGCTCACGTGGCTGACAGTCAGGGCAAACCCACAGGCACTGCAAAGCTCGTGTAAAGGATATTTAAAATAACAGATAAAGGGAGCAAACACGCTGAACTTAGCAATGCAGCTCGCCGACAAACATCCCAACTTATCTGAAGGATTTAAAGAGCACCAGGTTAGCACATGTGCTACATGATTATCAGGCCTGTCCTTCAAATAAGTGAAATAAATGTGATTTATTTTGGTGACAAGTGAACTTTTTTACCATTTCAGTTTGAGAAGCAAAATTAAGAGCAATGATAGCCTTAATGTTTAAAGGGGCAGTTCACCCCAAAACTGAAAAAGCACTAAAACGCCTCTAAAATGTATCTATCTACCAATCAATGTTGTTCTGCTGGAAGTTGCCTAGTTTTGGAAATACGAGCCACAGAAATGCCAATCTTCTCTTTAATATAATGGGACTGAATGGCATTCCTTCTGTGTTGTTTAAAGTACCAAAACAATACATTAGAAAAATTCAACAGCAATGTCTCTTACCAGAAATCACGACCTGGTTACTCAAGATAATCCACAGACTATGTAGTGAGCAGTTTAATGTTCAATGGCAGTATAGCTCAGCAGCTGCAGCTGAATAATTGTAGTTTTGTCACAACATGTTCAGTATTGCTCTGCACCTGTGACATATCAGGCTACATTTGATTGATATTGACTAAATATGTTGGGCCCATTTAATTAATTAAAAAATCATTTGAAGTTCCATCTATTTATCCATTAATTTTCCTGCCGTTTTAGTTTTTTGCTGTGGTATTGGTATCAAAACATTCTAGGCAGGTATTGTATCAAAGTCATGATTTTGGTATTGCGACAATACTATGGTGCTTTTCCACTGCACCAGGTACAGTTCTTTTGGTTCTTCAAGGTGCTGGTTTTCCACTGGCATAAAAGTGGCACCAGGGCTTGATGACATCACAAAGCGAGTTGGGATATTTTGTACTGAATTTGAATAATGACTATGGTATATTATAGGGCTGGCTGATGTGCAACATTAATGCGATTCTCATATCGCAAGGACCACGATAACTCATTTGAGATCAGGCTGTTTCATATATTTGTTCAGTATGGACATTATAGTGTGCGGGGAGGGTTTAAGTTGCAGTAAAACATTTTTACTTTGTCATTGGAAACAAAACTTAGCAAGGATTGCATTTTTAATGATTGTTCCTTTGATTCTTACTTTCATCCTTGCAATTTACATCACTCCTAGACATGCTTGCTAGAAAATTTATTTTGAACTCTGGATCTTCCGACCAGATCTCAATTAAAGCTTGGGTATCTTCATTTGTCGACGCATATATTATTATTTATTATTATTGTTCTTTTTTTTAAATTCGTTTATCATTGTTCATACCTGCATTGCATTTCAGAGGTCGGCTATTTGCATAACCAGCTGACAAAGTGTTTGCAAGTCTCACCAAAAGTACTGAAGTATCAGAAAAGTACCCAGCTGGATTGGTAATTTAGGTACCAGAACTTTTGGTAACGCTCCTCAACTGGAAGTCAATGGAAAAGTGCGTTACCTGGCGCAGTGGAAAACCGGCCTGTGTTATCCCTATATTATCAGATAAAAGCATCTAAATCACATCAACTTGGTTCATGATTGTGATTCAAATGAAAGGCTTCATAGAACATCCACGAAAGCTTGAACAACTATTCCCTCAAAGAAAACCATAAACCACATGTGAACATAGTTTTAAACTGGTGTCCACACAGGACAGGCAGGAAGAGTGGAAACCTGGACTTGCCTTCTTTGATTCTGTCTCAAAGGTGGACGGCAGCATCTCAGGGAAGAGCTTGAGGAAAACCGGCAGGAGAAACTCCATGAACGGAACGATGACAAACACCATGAAGGGTAAGAGGCGGAAGAGGTCTGCACATGTCCTCATGAGCTAGGGGAGACGACGCGGACTGGGTTAGAGCACGCAGCAGAAGGCAGGCAGCACAAACTATAGACAGGCACCATGATAACTGATGCAACAAGAACATATATAGAGTTATACATCCAAAACACCTTGGATCACACTTTCAAATCAGAAAAACACTAACTCAGTCTCATAACCAAACTCGTAAACATCAGTTATGCCACAACACATTTGGGCAAAAGAAAGAGCAAACAAGTTAAGTCCTGCATTATATCAGGACAATCAGACCACGACAGAAGGTGCTCTACCATCTTCAAGTTCATGACTAGGGCTGCACAATATTAAATACGGCTAGTGGAACACGCCACATACTACTGTTCTGGTAAATCATGGAAGCGATAGGAACTGAAGTGGTGGTGAAGAAAGGGACAGATCAGCAGCCACATCTTTTAAAAAGAGGAATCATTGTGAATAAACAAGGTAAAAAGACTTTGGTGGTGTGGTGGTACATTTTGCAGTTTAAAGTCCGACACGTTTATTACATATAAGTCTAGGTTATACAAATTACTACTACTGATTTATGTCTGTTGCCAACTTATTTGACATACTCTCTTGGAAGATAAGTTCTGTTTGGCTACAGTTAATTTCAGGTAAATTTAATTTCCTTTTTTGTTTTATAGATGGCACAATATTAAGTAAAAAATATTTAAAATAAGCGTGATGTGATATTACGCAGTCCTAGTCATGATGACGGGAAATAATAACTTCACCTATTCCCAAGACCAAACCATCAGAATGAGGGGGGCGGGGGGGCTAAACAAGGGCTACTGTGAAAGCAATGAAAATGCAGGGAGAAGCTCCCCTACTCGTCTCCTCTCCCTCCTGGTGAGCTGTTGGCCGTGCAGGAGCTGCCACACCATCCGCCCGGCGATCTTCGTGTCGATTCCCAGGAGGCGGAATCCATGGTAATAGTGCTTCAGCTCGTCCAACACCCTCTGGCCGAGGGATTTCCTGGCCACTATTATCTCTGCAGCGCTAGGGGTGGGGGCAGGGCGGACGGGGTCGGGATCCTTTGGAGGAGGGCTGTCATTCTGCGTAGGGCTGCCCTCGGCTGGCTTCTCCTTAGCCTCCTGGAACCAGGCGCAGGAGGTGTGGAGGGGACGAGCCGGCGTGCAGGCAGAGCCGGCGGGAGTCCACACGGGGTGGGGGTGTAATAACCATGAGGGGCCCACGGGCTGCGTAGTAAGTTCCAGGTGGTATCGAACACATGCCGTGGGGGGCAAGCACAAGCGGCCACGCCTTTTTGAAAGCAAGTAGGTCCCCCTGTAACCAAAAAGCGAACAATGTGGGGAGTGTAACACTGCAGTGGTTTGACAGGCGAGATGCATTATCCAAGATACAAGCGAGAGCATTTAACGAGTGTTACAATAAAGGTCAACTTCGAATTATCAAAAACGCTAAACAGACCTGATAGTTACCAGCTTGTGCCTGAATCCTATTAATTAAACCTGCCTTGCTCATTCAAATTGCAGCAAGACATCTCACCTGGATCTCGTCACAGCGAGCAGCACTTGAGAACTGAACACTGCCATGGTCCATGCAAGACACAGGTCCCGTTTCCTGAAATAATTACAGTTCAGTGCCCACAGCGACCTCCAGTGTCTGCACCTTAATATCACTGACGGTGTAAGGGGGGGGGGGGGGGCATGAATTCTCTTTTTAAAGCCATTTTACTACCCATTGCATTATACCCGCGACACTGGTTAATGTTAGAAACACGTGCCTCTCCAGCCAAAATCAGCGGTAAGTACTAGCAGTGTTATGCAGGGACACCCTCCCAGGCGAAGAGGTGACAGCTGATCAGGAAGAATTCAGGACAGCGGACACCATAGATCCTAAACAGTAATGAAGTCTCCAAAAACCCTACATGTTTCAATGGACATTCCCTCCAGTATGAGGGAAATTAGAAACCCATCTGATCTTGCAGGCAGCCGAAATCTGGACATCGTACATTCGCCCAGCCGGCATGATCGTCTCAGGCTGTCAGTTAACTTACTCGCCTCCTATAGTTACACTAACTAGCTTCGTGACACGGCGGCTAGCTTATGTCTAGGGACAAAATGCAAAAAAAAAAGTAACGCCTATCACGCCCTTCTGTATTACTAATGCATTATTTAGGAGAAGCCAAAGTCAAAGCTGGGGAAGAAAATAAAAACCGCAGCTGCATATCCAAAAGTAAAAGGAAAATAACGTTTCGGGGTTAAAACACAGATCCCTTCAGTGCTGTTTTCCCGGCATCTTTTCACTTGTTTCAATCGTCGTTTTTATCTTAAGGAGCAAACTCACCTAAAGATAGTCGGAGTCAAATTTCCGACACGCACAAGCACTTTCAGTCGCAATAAGACGCCGGTTCACCGTGAAAAGTACGATCCATTCGAATTTTTAGCCGTGAGTTTTAACACTAATGTAGGTGTGTTACCTGAAAACACATATATAAGGGTCGGAAATCAAAGCGCACCGCAGTCATCTAACGTACCTATCCGTCCCGGACAGGCGCCGCCGCTGGCGCGAGGGCCCCGTTGTTATTGAAGAGGTTATTGCAGGTCAAACAAACTTGACAGGCCAGTGACGTAGAGGATCAGGCGAGCACACCGAGCAGCCAATCCCGAGACCCCGACCCCAGTACAGCTCACGGCGCTCTGCGAGACCGATTGGCTGAAGAAGAACTGATCCTGAAGCAGTTTGTAAAGGCGGAGCGAACAACTGCAGCGACGTTACGCTGACGACAAAGACACTCAACTACCCAAGACGCTCGATTGGTAGTAATGCTTCGTGAGGTGTGTTGGGTCTTTAACACTTTGTTTTCGCTTTTAAGCGCAACATTTGTTTCCGTGGAACTTGGTAGATTCAACGCGGTTTTCAGTAATAATTTCTATGACTGATCAATTCTGGACTACCGATTAGCTTTATAATCATTTTGATTAAATGCAGGCGTGTCACTCAGCAGGGTCGTCTAAACAGTACAGTGTGTGTTGAGGTTTTTTTTTGTTTAATAAAACAACCATTATTATTTTCCTTTTTAGTGATCAGTTTTTGTTTAGTGAATGGAAGGGCGACCAACTCCCGTCAGTGTTAAACGTCGACAGATGATTAGAACTAAATTCATGGTAAAATTCTTGCATAGCTTATAAAGATATTCAACATATAGCTTGTAAAATGTTTCCTCTCATTTGGCCCTGCATTAAATATAAAAGAAGCGGAACATTTATACATAATAGACTTTTTTTTCTGAATGTCATTTTCCTTACACTGAGAGACTCCTGCGAATGATTAGTATTATACAGCGCAATCCGGTCTTACATGTTTACCGGTGCCAGGCGCTGTTTTTTTTCCTTAGGAAAAAAACTATATTTCCCAATATTCCTTTTGCAGAGGTATAGCGACCAATCGGGGGCACGTTATTTTGGCGCTGAGTGGGGAGACAGGCCCTGAAAGCAGGGAGCTTTTGTTACAGCTAGAGGGAGAGAGGGAGACAGTTATATAGAAATACATAGGAACCCGATTTATTCAAAACCCGCTCCAACATCCCGCAAAATACGAGGCCCTCTCTCAGATCAACCATGGGAACTGAGACTTAACTATTGCCCCTGCTTTTTTATTATTATATTTTTTTAATCAGTACATTGAATTAATAGTCGAGGATACCTTTACTTTATAACTTCAAGCTTTTGTTGTATCTGATTTTTTTTTTTAATATATTGCAGCAGGAAGCTCAATATTGGGTGTATTTGTTTATAATGGAACACACTGAAGGTACTGGCCGTTTTATTCGCCTTCCCGCATCTCTTGTGTAACAGGCTGAATGGCATTGTCGACATGTCGCACCGCTGCTCGCGAGGATGCTTGTTTTAAGTGATGGGTTCATTTTCCCCCGTTTCTTCGGCATAGTGGGGGAGTGATGAAGGTATAATCTGGCCAATTTGATTTAAAGGGGCAGTGGCAGCCATGTTGGTCTCTTGTCGCTTTTGCGGTGTGGCGTAAAATCCGTGTTTTTTGCATTTCTTTTGTGCAGTTAATTGGACGATGTAACACTAATTAGATGGTGCAGCTCGGATCCGTGCGCCTAATAGTGCAGCGGACCAGCGTAACGTCACCTCGGTGCCAATACTTTGTCCAACCAGATTAATTTGCAATCCATCGATGGCTATTTACTTAAGTATCAGTTTTTAATTAGCGATTTAAAAATGTGCACCAAGCTTCACAGTGGTGTTTGCTTCTTCTGCAGTGGTAAAGCTTTATATCGTTATTCGCATGTACATTTACAAACATCGTGCCCCATGGTATAGGCTGCTGTAGTCAACTGAATTTTTAATTTTGCTCTCCCAAAAGTCGCGATTTATTGTTAAACGTTGATGTTGCCAGCATTAGCGGTGTATTATTAAATTGCGAGCGTGTTTGGTTTTGTTGCTGTTAATATGTACTGCACGTTGCAGTTTAACCTCCCGAGCAGTGTTTACCTGCTTTTACTACGACTTGGCTGCTGTTTTGTTCTTGGATGTAGTAAAACGTTGTAACCTGGCCGTACATTTCAGACTAACTATCGTGGGCCGGTCACTCGTTTTCTGCTAATTTGTATTTCTTTTGCTATCAGTTTGACACGTTTCATTTGTTTAGTGCAACACAGCCAAACATTACAATTGCACAGGATGCTGAGCTTTTGTATCGTGTAAGATTGACAGTAACTGTACAACTAACAATGGACACCCCCCCCCCCTCCTCGCCGTCTCTCCCCCAGCC